GTCTATTAGTGTTTATATCTGTTACTTTGATTGGATAAATTTGTGAGTTGAATGTTAATGTCTTTCTAATTGTTTTCTCTTTCTATCTGTTTTTTGTTGAGTGTCAATGCTTTGAATGTTATCTGTTTAAATGCCATTGTAGAGAGTTAATAATCTGCGTAATAGAGTGTATATTCTCTGTTTTCAATCTTTTGTATTACAGATTTTAAAATTTTTGTAAAAAGCTTTGTATGTTGATTGATTTGTATGTAATAAATTCTGTGTAATTCTTTTAGTTGGTTTAGATTAGGTAAAGACTTTAGTGTCATTGATTGCTAACACTTAAGACACTTTCATCTTCTTTAAATTGTGAACACTAACACAAACCAGAAACCAAAAACACCTTCTAATTCTCTTCCTTCTCCTTTAACCACAAACCTCAAACCACTTCAGTATTCTCTTCCTGAAACCTTTAACCACAAACCACTAACACAGCCACTACCAAATGGATGATAGTGGGCTGCCGTCTGGTTTCATGGACCTGTTGCATAGTCAACAAGAAGTCCCTGGCTCATCTGAAGTCCCTCTTTATAGCACACAATGGTCTGATGAAGGAAGTGAAGATGAAGCCATTGCCACAGCCACACCAAAGGTGGGTGTCTCTAGAAAGAAATGGAAACCAAAAGAGGATCTTGTCCTCATAAGTGCTTGGTTAAATACCAGCAAGGATCCTATCGTAGGGAATGATCAAAAAGGTGGATCATTCTGGAAACGAATTGCAGCATATGTCTCTAATAGCCCGCAGCTTGAAGGTTTCCCAAAGAGAGAGTCGGCCCAGTGTAAGCAAAGGTGGGGCAAGGTCAATGAAATAGTGAATAAGTTTGTGGGGTGTTATGCAGCTGCAACAAATCAAAAAGCATCTGGGCAGAGTGAGGATGATGTAATGAAGATGGCACACCAACTCTACTTCAATGATATGCAGAAGAAGTTCTCATTGGATCATGCTTGGAGAGAGCTCAGGTTCGATCAGAAATGGTGTGGAGCACCTACTACTGAAAGCTCAAAAAGAAGAGTTGGTGTGCATTTGGAGTATTGCAAGCTCGGTTTCACATTATTAAAAACCCAGCTCTTGTTTGGGATAAGGAAAAAATAGGAAAGATAATGAGAGCATGTATCATACTGCACAATATGATAGTAGAGGACGAGAGAGATGGTTACACTCAGTTTGATGTTTTGGAATTCACACAAGATGAAGCAAACCAAACTTCTCAAGTCGATTTAGCGTATTCTAGAGAGATGCCTACAAATCTCGGGAATATAATGGACAGACGAAATCAAGTTCGTGATCGTGATATGCATCAACAATTGAAAGCTGACTTGGTTGAGCATATCTGGCGAAATTTTCGCAACAATCGAGAGTAAAACTAATCGTTATTCCAATTTTTTTTTTTACATATCTTTTTAAAAATGTTTGAAATAATGTATGTTTAATATTTTTATGAATTGTAATAATTATTAAGTTTTATGAAATAATTTTTTTAATAATTTTTTTTTTCTTAAGAGAACCTCACTAGAGAACCTACCATTGGAGTATGAAAAATTTTAAAAAAAAACAAAAGTTCTCATCTCAAATTTTCAACAAATTTATAATTAAAAAATTGAGAGAGCTTCATGGAGACAACCCCCCATTGGAGATGCTCTAAGGAAACATAAACTTACAACAAAGATATCATAGGGAACATGTAGAAACTAGCCGTAGAATTATGAAAATAATTAAGTAACTAACCATGAACTACAGTGATTTGTCAGAAAGGTAGATGAAATGATCCCAACACTTTTGTTTTTTTTCTTTCTTCTTTTTTTTTTTTTGCATTCACAACTACGCTCCGACAAATTCTATGTTGCCGCCAATATTTCTCTCTCTCGATAAGTTGGGATGCCAAGCGCTCTTCATATTGATGGGTTCTCTCCCTCAATTTGTAGAAGATCTTTCTCTTTATTTCTTCGGATTTTAATCTTTTTGGAATCTCCGTCGTCATGCTTTTTTTTGTATGAAGATCTCTCCCTTCAACATGTTACTTTTCTGTTTTACACGTTATTTATTAAGATCACATGTGATTTCTTCCAAAAACATGATTTTATTGTTAAAAACACATTGTTTTCTAAATGACACGCCTTTTCTTTTAGTATAACATTATATTTTTATCAAACGACATGTTTTTTTCACAAATAACAATACGCTGCTACATCTTTGTCAATATGCTGCTACATTTTTAAGGGGAGTGCTGATATCTCCTTTCTCAAAAATGTTAGTTTCCTATTTCTGACTCATGGCTATGTTCTTAATTCTTTTTGAGTCAAATGTTACTTACTAATGTTACCTCTAGAAAGATAGGTTTGAGAAGCCGTAAAGGTAGATGATAGGGCCATAGAGACTCGGAGACATAAGCTAAAAATCAGCATGCCACAAGCAAGCTTATGGTGTATCGAAGACACATCCGCGAAAAAATTCGGGTGTTTAGATATAGTCACAATCAAAAAAATTCGTGACGTTGAAAATGCATCATTTGCCTTGTAAATCATCGGCACGAAACATATTGACGCATCATGGAAACTTGGGCGGTTTCTCTCTATAAGAGGATAGCTCAATAAACAAAGTTGGTAGCAATGGTCCCACCCCAACGAATCGAGGCTGGGGTAATTGATCCAATATCTTTAGTGGTACAGTGTTCTTCGGCCATAAGTCATGATGGTTTTACGCATAGGGTTTGGAACGATTGAACACAATAACATGCTAGAAGCCTAGAACTATCAAGTCAATGCTAGATCGATGTCCTAAGTCAATCAGCTCGAAGAACCAATAACTCCAAGCAAGTGTTTCCAAGAAGAGATTATAGTAAACGACCAGGTTCATGATCTAAGGATATTAAATTGGTTTTTTTTTTTGAAATCCAAAATATGGTTTTGTCATCTCTAAAACACTAAACTTAGGCTTTTAATTGAATCATATAATAGGACCTTTTCCGAATTCCCTAGTAATTAGTTTTTTGGTTTTATTTAAATAGCAGTCCACAATCTAAAAAAAATGAAAATCTTTCTTGAAAATAAAATTCAAAAATAGGAAAATAATGATACAATTTTCCATAGAAACAGGTAATAGCTCTAACATATACATGTTAGTTATATGAAAGTTTTTTTTTAAGAAAAAACTAGATCCTCTCCAACTCGAATTTCAGAGATATATATATTTGAAGAGGAAGATGACTTCACATGATCAACCTAGGCGTCTCTTTGGTATGCAAAATTAACCAACTCATTTATTTTGATTTTGGTCTCTTGTTTATTTTGTGAATTATGATACTCTTTGTCACTAAATAATCAAAATCATATGAGTAAATACACACTGAGAAAAATGAATTGATTTGTTTAGTGACAAGTTTACAAGGTATATATACTTTCATAATCTCTCTACTTAAATCAGTCGCCTCAAGTTCTAGCAAATCATAGAAACATAGTTGACTCGTATAAGGTTTCTTCCAAATTTTCTTTAGATGTTTTCTTGACTTCCATTACACAAAACACAACTAAACCCCGAGGAGATCATGCGGTACAAGACGATAATGAACTCTATGACAGACAGAGGTAGACACCTTTGATCAAAAAGCATTTCATTTTTTCTCTCATATATTCATCAAAAGTCTTACATGGAATTATTATGTGTCAGAGCTTGATGGACTAAATTCAGAGTACATGAGTGTTGTGCGGATTATGGAGATAGCCAAGAATCCAAACAGGGACTGATAAAAGTTAGGGGATTGGTGATACATCAAAAGGCTAGAAGAGACATGTACATAGATCGATGAGGGATACGAAGCTGATGGACATGTCTGCTATGTTTTGGAATGAGATCACATCTCCTTTCAACATAGAGCTTGTCCAGGAGGCAGTGAATATTCCTCCCCATAAGGTTGAGTCAGGGCCGGTCCGGTATATTTGCATGCCCTACGCCACTAAAGAAAATCATGCCCTTTGTAGAAGAAAATTTTTCCTAGCATCACAAATAAGATTGATATAAAAGTAATACTAAAACTAAAATAAAAACAGTGATTAACTTCAAACTTAGTCACTTGGATATTTACTTGATTAATCAAATCAAAGCAAAGTTCACATACTTTAACAAGTTTGCAGACAGAAGAAAAAATATGAATTAAATCAATGGAAAGAATTTTTTTTGTAAATGTTTAGGGTTTTATTTTATTTTTAAGCCAAAATTTTACTAACAAAATTTATTAACAACACATTTTATTAATTTAAAGACATAAAGCCCACAAATTATAATGAAAGGAAAGCCCAACAAATTTGTTTTTTTAAAAAAACTTATATTTTTTTGTAAATAGAAAAGACCTAAAAATATTTTTAAAAATATATGCCCCATTTAGTTTGATGCCCTAAAAACAAATCCATTGTCTCTCTCCTCTATTTTAGAGGAAAATCTATTTTAGAGGGATACATTGGAGCAAAATCTCCTCTAAAATAGAGTTCCTCTAAAATAGAGGAAAATATAGAGGTGACCATTGGAGATGGTCTAAGTCAAGGCTTCACTTGATTGTGTCATGCGCCGGGCCTGGGTTGAGTTGATGAAGTGGGCTCTTAGAGCAGCCTTAATGGTAGTTTCTTAAGAAAATCTTAAGATTATGTTAGCATTTAATTGATTATTTTATTCCCAAATATGCCTTTAAGCTAAGAAGAGTTCCCTAGCTAAAAAACAAATATAATGTTAAGAGGTGAACTTATTATTAAATAATCATAAAAGAAGCATTTTTAAGAGCCCTTGGATAATCATGCTTTTATTTATTTTGGGACTTTATGTATTTTTTTTTTGTAGACATGACATTGGTAAAAAAAAAAAACACTATACTAATACTATTGATTATTCAGGTACAGTAAACCACACTCAAATCCTCTAAGATAACAAATTTATATAAGTCAGGTAACAAATTTATATAAGTCAGGTATACAATAAACCTTAGTGTAACAAATTCAGATTATTCAGGTACAATAAACCACACTCAGATCCTCTAAGATAATTGTTTTTGTCATTATAAGCTTATTCCACATGTAACCCAAACAAAGCAATTAATTAAAACAAAAAATAAGAACCAAACTATATCATCCAGACATGAAAAATTCATAAAAACCTGATCATGATATTTCTATTTAATATTCACACACAATAAAACTCTTATATATATTAGCTAGAGTTTTAAATTTTGGTTGGTCTAGTTAAAAGCATTTGCAATGGGAAACTCTTACCATATTCTCTCATCTATATAAAGAAATAATAAAATAATTGTATTACGTGGCCCAATATACAACCTAATATAACCTTCAGCTTTACTACTTCTAACTAAACTGATAAATGAAGATTGAGCTTGTTTTCATACCCTTACCAGGTATCGGTCATCGCAAGCCAACCATCGAGTTAGCGAAGCGACTTGTCCGCAGCGATGACCGCCTTTCCATCACCGTGATCATCATCCCTTCCATAAACAACGTCGCCGATGATTCTACCTATATAGCATCACTCTCAACGACATCTCAAGATCGCCTCCGCTATGAAACCATCTCCATTAAAGATCAACCAACAACCATTGATCCAACACAGCCGACTCAAGTCTACATCGAGAATCAAAAGCCAAAGGTAAGAGATATAGTCTTGAGAATAGTCAATGATCCAACACGACGGCTCGCTGGATTCGTGGTGGATATGTTCTGTTTCTCAATGATAGATGTAGCTAACGAATTCGAAGTTCCGATTTATATGTTTTACGCATCGAACGCTACGTTTTTGGGAATCACACTTCACATTCAGCTAATGCACGACGAGAAAAAGTATGACGTTAGCGAGTTAGAAGACTTGGTCAGTGAGTTAGAGTTTCCGTGTTTGACTCGTCCTTATCCTGTGAAGTTACTGCCTTATCTCTTCACTTCAAAACAGTGGCTACCTTTGTTTTTAGCTCAAGCTAGAAAATTCCGAAAGATAAAGGGTATTTTGGTAAATACAGTTGCTGAACTTGAGCCACACGCTTTGAAAATGTTCAACAATGGTGGTGGTGATCTTCCTCAAGTTTATCCAATAGGACCAGTTTTGCATCTCGAAGACGGTTTTGTTGACGAGAATCAATCGGAGATTATACGGTGGCTTGATGAGCAACCGGCTAATTCTGTTGTGTTCCTCTGTTTTGGGAGCATGGGAGGTTTCAATGAGGAACAAACAAAAGAAATCGCCGTCGCGCTAGAACGAAGCGGTTACCGGTTTCTTTGGTCCCTCCGTCGCGCATCGACGAATATAATGACGGAACCTCCCGGAGATTTCACAAACTTAGAGGAAGTTCTCCCGGAGGGTTTTCTAGATCGGACATCGGATATAGGCAAGGTAATCGGATGGGCACCGCAAGTCGCGGTGCTAGCGAAACCGGCGGTAGGAGGATTTGTCACTCATTGCGGGTGGAACTCGATATTAGAGAGCTTGTGGTTTGGTGTTCCGATGGTGGCATGGCCGCTTTACTCCGAGCAGAAGGTAAACGCTTTCGAGATGGTGGAGGAGCTGGGATTGGCGGTGGAGATTCGGAAGTATTTAAAAGGAGAGTTGTTGGCCGGAGAGATGGAGACGGTTACGGCTGAGGAGATAGAGAGAGCGATGAAGCGTGTGATGGAGGAGGATAGTGATGTTAGAGATAGAGTGAAGGAGATGGCAGAGAAGTGTCACGTGGCGTTAATGGAAGGTGGATCTTCACATGTGGCTTTGCAAAAGTTTATGCAAGACGTTAAAGAATACATTGCATGTTGATTATGTATGAGATACAATGACTTGTAGTTCCAAAGCGTTATGTTGTTACATGGGATAAATGTCAATTTATAGTACATGAACTATAATCATGGTGAGGATCTATACCCAAAGTATTTGATACATTAGCTATCCGAAAATTACATGAACCAAACTATTGTCCTGAATCCACATTGACATGAACGTCGAGAGTTAATATGTTAGTGTGTGATGATTTAAAAGGTGCAAAATACTAAACTTATTAGCTATCATTTCTGTCCTAGTATATTTCCTCAATCTCAAGCCTAACGGTTCTGACCATGCGCGGAAGATTCTACTACAACTAGAAGGTCGTTTCCGTGATTCTGAATTCTTCTAGCTTCAAATCTTGGCACAAGAGATACAAAGGGTTGTTTTTCTTTTAGGAAGATATAGACCACGACCATAAGATTTCCCAACCAGCCAAGAAAGCGACCAAATGTATTCGTATAACTCTCTCCTTTGATTTCGAGCTTTTAATTCAACTATGTGATCCTCTTATGTATATTTTCTCTTATGCTATTTTTGAGTTTTGACGATTCGATTTATGACTTTTTTTCTTCTAGTTTCTATATTATGTTTTGAGTTATGGGAGCTTATTCGGCAAAGTATAGCATCAATCATGATTATTCATGGCAGTTTCGGTAATGTGGGGTTGAATGGTGCTTTTATGCGGCGATGGTGGTTCTGAAGAGTTATGTTGGAAGTTGTAATCGGTTCATCATTATACTAAGTGTTTAGTTTCTCTTATCATCGTAGTCAATTTAGAACTAGTGGCTTCAAAAGATGCCGATTGTAAAATGTCGTCGTCATGTCGGTTAATAGAGAAACCATTATGTCTTTCTTTCTACAACAATTTCGAATGTGAATATGAGAGTTTAATCTCATTTTGGGTTCTTGGCCTTCGATTAAGCATTGTTGTGAAGGTTCATTGTTTGAAATTCACAAACAAACAAGTGAAGAAAAGAATAGACACACCTAGGCTAGGCTAGAAAATATCAAGAACTTGTAAAATGGTAGTGTTACATAGCGGACAGTTTCCTCTCTGTACCCAAAGCTCTCTCGAACACAATCTGCAAAATGTATGTCCGCAAGGTATAAAAGCCGCACCTTTACTCCTTATCATACACACACAACAACCCAACTCCGCTGCCCCCGTCACCGCCACCGCCTCTCCTCCACGGTCGCAGCAATCTCTTCCCTCCACTTCCACCTCTTCTCGCGCGCTGAGTTCATACATTTGTCCATCATTATCCTCCAACAACTCCATTAAAGACATCCTTGGCGGCTGCATTTCCTAATTAGATAAAAATTTATAAGAAAGCTTAAACTTTAATTGTTCTGATACCACATTAGAGTTTTGTTAACATAAACTTGTTCTCATTAATTGTTAATTAGAAACAGAGGATATGTAGCTTAACCGTCTAACTAACTAACTAACTAACTGACTGATTAACAAACTGATACACATTAATACCTCTCTATCCGCCGCCAACACCGTGCCTAGCCGGAGCCTTCCTTCTCGCTCCGCGGCTTCCCCTCCGCCATCGCTAACATCACCATTGCTCCGGTTTGTCTCCGAATTAGAGAGGAGGAATCCAAGCCGGTTAAATTGGTGGCTATCGTTATCCGGAGTAAGGATATGATTATCCAAACTGGGAATAGGGTTAGACGAGATCCAACCAGTAGCAGAGCGTTTAAGGCGGAGCTTATCCCGGAGAGATTTCCAAGCTGTTTTATCACGGCGACGCTCTCTTCTCATCACGTCAAGTAAACTACTATTCGAGTGATTCCTCGCCGGAGAAGGCGGCACAGTAAGAGATCGGAAACCGCTCGTTTCAGCCATCAGAATATCTTCTAGAGTCACTGAGCTCCTGCCATTCTCCACCGTTGACATTCGATCAAACAAAGTCACTCTCAGCCTATCTCCACCGTCCATTTGAATCATCTTGTCAAAGATTTTCCTGAGAAAATGAAAAACCAATTTCGTCGGCAAGAGAGTGAGGGGTTTTTTTTTTTTTTAATCTTCAGTGAGAAAATAGTCAGTGAGAGTAAAACAGATCCACTTGATTATAAAGAATCATCGGATACCTTACCTTTCTCCGACAACTTCCTTCTCTTTGCACTAGAATCCGCAAATCTATAGCAGTAGCAGATCTGTAATCAAATAAATATTTTAATTAATTTCAGAAACTTTACTTTATACGAATCTGACAAAATTAAAGAACAAAATTTGCAGTTTTTATTTTATATAAAACAATCATGCAGACACAGTGATTGATGAAGAATTTTGTGGGTCAAAAAAGAATAAAAACAAAAAAGTAAAAGATGATCACTTTCTTTTAGATATTGTTGTTGATTGAAATCATCTGCTTGGTTTTGCTCTTTAATTTAGTGACTTTGAGAATCTCTTTTGAAAGAGTTTTAAAACGTAGCAGAGGAGATAACCTAGTGTGGATTTACGTATTTGGCCTTCTATTTTGTTGTTTTGTTTTATCCATCAAAGCTGGGAGATAGGGGTATATTCGGTAGTTTCCACAGTTTTGTCGTCTTTATATGTCTGTGGACGAGTTTTTCTCTTACAAGGGTATTTCAAATGTACTTTGAGTTTGTTTAGTTCTGGTAATTTTATGTACTTTGGTCTATATTAGTATATAAAAATTTTAAGCATATGAATGTTCATAGTTAATTAGGTACATAGTGGTTAGAGATATTAAAAAAAGCAAAATCAGGGTTTAGGTCGCTGATCATACCTGAATATGAAATGGTTGGAGAGCAGTTTTAAGCTAATTCACTCATCAATTTTTTTTTTTTTAAAGCTTGATCTTGATGTGTTTCATTTTGAATTGTACAATAATTCAGTTGAGGATTTTAAATTTTATATTCAAAAGTGTTTGATGACCTAACACATTAATGACCATAACAGATACTGGTCCACAAAACCTTTTTTTTTTGTATTGTGTCCATAATGATAATGCGATGTAAGAGAAACGGTCAAGTTTGTTATGAGTTTTTTCTTTTTTTTACTTTTCCAAACAGATTTGGTTTTATAGAAGAAGATTACAAGAAATTTGGAACAACAACATATCACTAAACCAGCACCATAGAAAATCGAAATCCAAAATCAAGGCCGATCCAAAGGATTTAAAAGCCGAGAACTCGGAAACAAAAGAACTAAAGATCAATAAACACATTCCATTGGAAAAAGACGTATAACAAAAAGTTCATAAGCCATCATCATATG